TGTTGGGGGCAATATGCTGACTCTCTGTAAACCGCTTAGAGAGGGCTGAAAGCCCTATGAAGCGGTATATAAGTCTACTGCTATTACTGCTATATGAGAAGGCATAGGAAAATGGAGAGAAGGGTAAGCAGACCATTTGGATACATTTAGCAAAAGCTGACAGTGATGCATGGTTCAGGAAGGTGTGAGATCTGGAGGAACAGTAGAAACATGTTTGGCCTGCTGTGATGAATTAAAGCATGGTGGGACAGCAGCACATAAGTAAAGAAAAGTCTTGGGAAAGAGGTGTAATGGAGAGTAGAGCTGATCTTGTGCATAGGGAAGGAAGGAGAATTTGCGGGGTGGAAATTGCAGTCCTAAGAAAGAGGGAAGGGTGAGGGGGAAAGTACAAATAATCCCATACTATTTGTTCAATTTAAGATGGGGCAGAAAGGAACTTTGACAGGCTTTCAATATTCTGCTATTCTGCTTTACTACAATAAAAAGTATTCCTGGAATCTCTGCTGGGTTCTGGATTTAGTCTACTTCAAAGAAGGACAAGAAAATGATGGGAGAGCTGGACCCACGGCAATGCGAAGCTGGAGAGGGGCAGAGTGCACCAATCTTACCCTATTTAACCTACAAGAACCCTCCAGATTTCTCTAGTCTGCGTCTCAGTTCATTGGGAATATGAGGCATGTGGAAGAGATCAGCCAAATATCTGGGTAGTGTGCTTATCCCCGGCTAAGAATAAGACATATTTTGTGCAACTCCCCAAATATATCATCCACCAATTAATGGTTTCAGATGAACTCTGACTGAAGGGGACTGCTCATCCTAAGAATGTTTCATTTGTCTTTAAATCAAAGGGGAGTAGTACATCTTTCTTGGATAATTTCCAGTTTCAAAAAGGAACATTCAGGTTTTCAATCCAACGTTCTCATTTTTGATAGACCAACGGAAAGGGAAAAATAAAAATTCACCTTTTTCTGTTGTCTGTCCCCATCCAGTTATAAAACATGGTGTCTCAACATTTAGAGCCACAGGAACATCAGGTATACAGATGGGCTGGATAAACTGATTGAATTTGATAGACTCCATCAGTTTGAACAAGGCAATGTCATTGTCAAAGGTAATCTTGTTAAAACTGGAATGCATAATGATAGCCCTGATCCGGCTCTTTCTGGTATGGGCATGGTATCTAGAAATATGATGCAATCCAATCACAGCTCTCCAAAATGAAGCGACCCTAGAACAGAATAAAGCCCTCTGTAGAAATCAATGCTGTCAGAGTTTGTTGCAGAAAAATCAAATCCAGAAAGCACACAGAGATAACTGTTTCTGCTAGATTCATTAACTTCTTTATATACGTTAAGAATAGAAGAATAGATGTACAACACCAACAGATGGTTCTTCCAAGTAAACACAAGGCAGAAGAGTTACAGGCAAACACAAGCAGTTAGCTTCATTTCAGCAGACAAACCCAGATTGACTGCTTGTTTACTTCTCAGAGCAGCAGATTGCTTAAGTTTTGTTTTTCAGCACGAAGTTTAATACAGCTAAGCCACACCCAGACTTTGTATTTAAGTTTCTGTTTCCAACTCTCTGCATAGACTCAGATCTGTTTAAGCTTCCATTGGCTGGCTTAGTTGCTTATGCCTATTCATTGGCTGACCTTGTTCCCATGTGTCTCCCAGTCATGAATATTTTAATATTTTAACAAATGTGAGTTGGCTGTAGAATTGTATGGCAGCTTCCTAGACCCTGAAATTTGCACACTTTTTCTTACATTTTAAAAATTATTTTTGTTAATCTTTTTTAGATAAAGAGACAATAAACAAGCAAAGGGAAAATAATTAATGCAGAGATATAGAATCAATAAGTGGACAAAGTAGTTACTGGGAGTAAACAGTCTCAGTATGTCAATGATGAAACATTAATCATAAAAAATAGAACACCTTAAATTATTTTTACAATTTAAAAAAGGATTTTAGAGCTTTTTAAATATCTGAACTGAGTGTCAAAGTCTCCATTTTTTTGGCATTTAAGGATATCAAAAAGGGATTAAACAGGAACAGAATTAAAAACATTATAGGTTTCTAACATTTAGTTTCCAATTTCCTCTTTGCTGTTTGTACCCTGAGTAGTATGTAATATTTATACATTTTCATGTATTTCTTATTTTAATTTTTTGGTCAAATTCTTTTTATTAAAAAAACACTTTAGATGTTTACATCTGTCGTGATGATATGGAAAATACATTATTTGAAATGTTAATTTTGCCATTATTGCATATTCTCCAAGTTTCAGTTCTTAATCTGGTCTCTCTTTTCCAGTGTTGTCCCAGGCTATCTTTGGAGCCATGAAAATGTATCTTATGAAATTGTGATTTCTTTTATGACTTGGAATTATGGCCAGTTAAAAAAATGTGGTTCATGGTACTGTGAATAGTATTTCCATGTATAGAGCTTGGGCGACAACTGGAAGAGCAGCTCCCTGGTGCACACACACAGGAGCACTGGAAATCAGAATCTCAGCTTCCCGGTGCACGCATGCGTGCCTGGGAGCTGCTCTTCCAGTTTCCAGCACACACGAAGACCAGCTGGCCTGCACACATGTGCACGTCGGAACCCAAAATGGGCGACAATGGGCGACAGCTGGTGAGCCTGAAGATGGCTCTGTGTGCCACTTTCTGCATGCGTGCCATAGATTCGCCATCACAGTCTTCTGACATTTCCAGCATTTATTACTAAATTTGGGTAGTTTGGCAATTATTGATGTATTTGTCTATTTTGGGAATTTTATACAATGTATAAAAGATCAAAGAATACTATTTTTCTCTTAAATTGTAACATGTGCTAAATTTTATAGATTTGTTCCATAATTTTTCCCATACTTGTGTTATGATCTTAAAGTTTGCATCTATCCATCCATCCTCTCTCTCTCTCCCTTCCTCCCTCCATAATCTTCTGTAGTAAATCATTTCAGATATTTAGCACTTTTCTACATCTCAAAGCATTTCTTGCATTGATTTTTAGATATATTTTTGGTCTTTTTCAGTCTCCCTTGTATTAGTTCAATGTTCTTTTCATTGTTTTTATGCTCCTCTAGCAATGGCAGATGGATAATTGATATAGAAACAAAAGACATTTTAAATAGTTTGGAGAACTGGTAAATACCACCTCTGACTGGCCCCACTCCCCTCTATTCTCTGCCTCCCGAATCCCACCTTTTCGGGAGGGAATGGGGATTTTGCAGTAACCTTCCACTGGAGTGGGGTGGGAATGGAGATTTCATAGTATCCTTCCCCTGCCACGTCCACCATACCACACCCACAGAACCGGTAGTATAAAATTTTGAATCCCATCACTGGTTCTACTAGTCTAGTTTAAATGTTAATTTATATTGCTAATCCATGTATGATATGCCATACTCTAAATAAATTGGCTTTATGGGCTCCTTTTTGTAACTGAGGGAAATTACATAAGGAGTCCGATGTTTGCTACATTCAGTATTAAAAATCCCAAGGGGTACAAGTAAGGTATTTGGAACCAAGGGCCAAAGTCTCATTTTATATATTCTTATTCTTCAGAGCTCACAAAAATCATATTTGGAAATAGAAATTCTGGGTGGAGTAAACATGTTTACTCTTGTATTAGAAAAGTACTTAGTACTCAAGTGCAAAGGCCACAACCTTCCAGGGGTGTCAAACTGGCAGCCCAAAGACTGGATGCATCACATGCAGGTCACACCTATCCCGACTCCATAAAAGCAAAAAATGTTGCTATATCACATGACATGATCAAGTTTGTCACTTGTTTTCTAACCCATTAGCCGTGAATGTACAGATTATTTCTCCACTTTGGCAAAACAAAAAACCAAAAACCTTAAGGTGTTTGTTTTTTTTAGACACATTTATTCATAAGTAAAAATCTGACATAAAACTTAGAATTCATGAAAATGGAACCTAATTTAAGATTCACCTGAAGCACCAAAATAGAATGTCAACTAAAGGTAACTGAGTAAACAATTATAATCCTACTTTAGACATGAAAGCTGGCTGGGTGATTTTGGGTCAGTCACACACTGTTAATCCAATTCACCTCACAGGGTTATTTGGGCAAAACAGGAAGAGGAAGGAGTACAGGTAGTCCTCAACTTCAGATTTACAATAGCTCTAAAAATGCGACTTGCGACCATTTTTCAGTTACAACCTTTGCAGCATCCTCATGATCATGTGATCAAAATCCAGACGTTTGGCAATTGGTTCATATTTATGACAGTTGCTGTGTCCCCAAGTCATGTGACCTGGGGACTTTTGTGACTTTCTGACAAGTGAAGTCAATGGGAAAGCCAGATTCACTTAACATCCGTGTTACTAACGTATCAACTGCCGTGATTCACTTAACAACTTAGGCAAGAAAGGTCGTAAAATGGGACAAAACTCACTTAACAAATGTCTCACTTAACAGACATTTTGGACTCAATTGTGGTCGTAAGTCGAGGACTACTTGTATTAGGTATATTCACTGCCTTGAGTTGTTTATAAAAATAATAAAAGTGGGATAAAAATAAATAAAACTATGCTAGTTTCAATCTTCCTTTTCAACTGCTACCTAGATCTGACTAATTTTCTTTTTTCTTAGGTCCAGTTTATTCCAGTTTTCCCCCCTCAGGTAGTTTGCTTCAGAGATCTCTTACTTTTGGTTCTGGATACTCTCTAACAGATTTTTTTTTATTCCTTCAAACTACGTTATTTCTTGCTCTTTAACTTGAGTAGGGGATGGGACTAGAAGACCTCCAAGGTCTCTTCCAGCTCTATTCTTATTAACTTCAGTTTGCAGCTCATCTACCTTTAGCTTCCTTCTCTATCTTTCAGTAATATTTTTGTAGGCTGTTTTATTCTTCCCTACCCATTTTACTCAGCTGTAGTCTTACTATCATGCACTGATATCGCTTTTGTTCATAACTACTGTTAAGTAAAAATCGCATAAACAAATGCTGCCCATTTAGCTAAGCATTTTAATGTAGTGCTTTACAGACCTATTTCTCACCTAATCTCATTGTGAACTGATTTGAGATAATAAAAGTTAATGTCAGCAACATATATTTTTCTAATATTAATATTTTATTACAAGTTCAGGAAGTCAAGATCGATTCAAAAACATATTTCTAAATTCAGCAACTACAGGCTAACCAATCTATGATAAGAGAAGGTTTTAAAATGGAAGATAATACATACGTCCATTCTTTAATGCAGTGTGCAGCTGTCAACACCGAGTTGTGATTAATTAACGATCCACCACATACATGAAGAAATCCTTTACCAAAATGATAAAGCTCAAGACTAACTTGCCATGGCCATCCGCCAAGCTGAGCATCAAGTCCACCAACAATTCGTGTTCCTGTTACTATGTCATCCACAACTGGTCTTGTTCCGCAATCTAGGAGGCAAAAGACTACTAACAGTGCCTGTTTTAAGGACTCCTCCCCCCACACGCATAAATTCCTTGACCAGCAACAGCACGTTTGAAATAGGTGCTAAGAGCAATTAAGCAGCTAATGGTTGTACACTATGGGCACAATCAGCCTTTATTTTAAACCAGAGGCACAGCTGATGTTGTTGATGTTCTGAGGTTGAGGGGGTGACATGATAGCAGTATTCCAGTATTTGAGGGGCTGCCACAAAGAAGAGAGGGGATCAAGTTATTTTTCAAAGCACCAGAGGGCTAGACAATAAAAAATGGTTGGAAACTAATCAAGGAGAGTAGCAACCTGGAATCAAGGAGAAACTTCCCAACAGTGAGGACAATTAAGCAATGGAAGGGGTTAGAAATTGTGGGTGCTCCATCACTCAAGGTTTTTTAAGAAGTCTCGTCAGCCACCTGTCTGAAATGGTATAGGCTCCTGCTTGAGAAGAGGATTGGACTAGAAGTCTTCAAAAGGCCCCTTCCTTCTCTATTCTGATTGATGTGTTCAAAAACAGGCAGTTTGAAAAATACCGCCGCCTCCCCCCCCCCCACGCGTGTTCCTTATTTCAGATGCCTTTCTTCTTTCTATTTAGTCTGCCCACCCACATATTCCTATCCATGTGCTTGGAAAACATTCCCTTCCCTTTATATTTGCCAGAGCTTCTATTTCTTCCTGGTCAGGATTTCTGAGCAAATCTCCAGGGCACCCATTGCCACCAGGATAGCCTTTATGGACGTTTGCAATCATCAGTCACTTTCGAAGCCAAAAAACCTCCCGCTCCACGTTTTTAAAAAGATGGGCGGGATTTCCGATCCCCACTTGCGGAGTTGCACCGCGTGGAGCTCTTGTGAGGAGAGGTTGTCGGGAGTTGTAGTTCTCTGGGGAAGGGCAGCGGCCCACGTGCCTTTTGCAGCTTGAGGGCGGGAGTGGGTGGGCCTGGCACCTTCGACGGCTGCCGCCCGTAAGGCGCGTCGAGGTCGCGGGTGGAGAGGCGGCCTTACCAGTTGTAGGGATCACAGAGGACAGGGCTTTGGGCGGTGATTTGCTCAATAGAAAAAGCAGCGGGAATAAAGAAGAGAACGGCGCGCAAAACTGCCTCTGCATCGTCAGTCCGGACGAGAAAAGAAAAAGAGGCCCGCGCGAGCTCTCGCTCGCCCTCCTTCCCGGCAGGAAAGGATGCCCAACGGCAGGGAGGCGGCCGCAGGCTCCGCCTGGAATGGCCTTTGCGACGGCAACGGGAGGCCAGTTGGATCGAATGTAAGGGTGGGTGGGTGGAAAGAGGAATCGCGGTCATCAGACCCACTATCGGGTGGAGCGGAAGAAGTAAGATGGCTTGCAATTTCTAGACGATTAGATAGAGTAGGTAGGTAGGTAGATTAATGATGATAGATTAATGATAGATAGGTTGACAGATGATTGATAGATGATACATTGACAGATTGGCAAATGATTGATAGATGATAGATAGTAATGATTGATTATAGATAGATGATTGATGGATAGATGAGAGATTGAAAGGTAGGTAGGTAGATTAATGATACATTGACAGATGGATAGATATTAATGATAGTAATGATGTAATGATGATAGATGATTGATATAGAGATTGATGGATAGATAGATGAAAGATTGACATAAATTAATGAGACTAATGATAGATGATAGATTGACAGATAGACAATAGATGATTGCTAGATGATAAAATGGTTAGATGATAAATGATGATAGGTGAAATTGACAGATGATAAATAATAGATTGACAGATTGATAGATATGATAGTAATGATAATAGATTATAGATGATTGATAGATAATGGATGGATAGATTGATATAGATCTATATCTACACATATTTACACACACACAACTTACTTTCCATAGTTGCCAGACATAGCCAGTGTACAGAAAACATGGAGAAATCTGCTCTTTATATCTCCCTTCAAGGCAAAACTTGTTTTCCTTCTCTGAGTTGGTCTTTAATCAGACCTGCCCCATGGGAGTGATGGGAATTGTAAGCCAAGTGTTCAGAGGGCAGAAAGCTAGGGAAGATGGATATGATGAAGCTTCACTAATGTTCAAGTGGCATCTTAGTCTTCTAGTACTAGAAGTTCTTAGAGGATATAGTTTAAACTATCTTGGATATTGTTCATTGCTTCTGGTACAGAATTTTCTTGAATTAGGACTTACTGCCTATTAGTGTCATTTAGCATATCAATTTGAGATTGGAATTTTCTGGGGGCTTTTATAAAACTTTACTTTTTTCTCCAGTGACTGTTTTTTATCTTCAACATATTTATAAACATATTTATAAGTAGTAGTTATATTACTACTCCTTGTCTGTTATAACAACTCTCTGAAATTTTAATATATATTTTTCATGGCTTTCTTGGCAGTCTTCAATGTTCTGACATTCTGTTTGCTTACTTTTGTTTATATGTCTTTGGAAGTCTCTCTTCACAGTCATCCTTAACTTTTTAAAATTTCATTTAACTGGCTCCCTTTCATGGAGGTTTAGGATTTTAAATTATTTTTGGTATTGTGCTGGAAAGTGGAAGGTATCCTCAATCAAAACTGACTATTGTGAAACCACTAGCTTTCTTCTTCTATTTTAGATGAACATTAGAACTGGCACAAGAACAGTTTGTGATCTGTTCAATAACTAGCCCCTAACCACATCTTTGCTGAACTCTTTCATCTCAGTTATTTCTATGTACTTTATCTGAAGTTCAAGTATATACAGCAGGCATTGCTTGAAGACTTGTTAGAAATGAAGAAATCATTGGACTCACAGCAACTAATGTTCTGTTTTATTTATTTACCATATTTTTTGGAGTATAAGACGCACTGGCTGAAAATCTGGGTGCGTTTTATACACTGAATACAGCATTTTTTGCTTCCCAAAACCCTGCCCCCTTCACCAAAATGGCCAAGCATAGTTTGTAGGAGGCTTTTAGAGAGCTCCTGGGGGGCTGGGAAGGGCAGAAATGAGCGAAAAACAGGCTGCTTTTTGCTCAATCCCCGCCCCCCCCCCGCCCCCAGAAGCACTCTATAAACCTCCATAAGGCTGTGCATGCAATTCTCTTGACAAAAAACAGGCCCGTTTCATGAACAAATGGGCCATTTTTTGAGGTTTTCAGAGTGCAACACCCCCCCCCCAATTTTTGGAAAGCTCTTTAGTTAGAGTGATTGATGAGAATTACAGTGATCAAGTGCTGTGCCAGCAGAAACAAAGTCTTAGGTGCTGCAGATTGTCAGTGAGTTCCTTCCCCAGCACATGGATAAATACACCTGGAAACATCTACCTACCTACCTACCTACCTGCCTACTCACTCTCTCCCTACCCACCTATTGCATTTCTCTGTCTCTCCCTCCATCTACCTACCTACTATGTCTCTCTCCCAGCCTATCTAATGTATTTCCCCCCCATCTACTTACATACCTACCTACCTGCCTACTCACTCTCTCCCTACCCACCTATTGC